GTTCAAAATCTCCAAGCTGTATGGTGGTATGTTTTTGCTCTCGTCTCTTTTATACAGCCATGCCGGTGTAGCGTCAGCATAACGGACGGTTAAACTGCGGTTAGATTTGTATGGAAATTAATTTGTATGTATATGTTTGGACTCTTCGCTTTAACCTTGTATGAAATGTTTATATTCTTGATAATAATTAATCTTCCTAGCAATTTATTTGCATATAATATATAATATTATAATCTTTCTTGGTAATTTAAGATTTTCCATTACTTTACTTTGATGGGTTTTATTTACAAGCTTGGACAAGGGCTTGGCTGGTTTGAAGGCTTCTTTGTCCTTTTCGCAACAATTTATTTTAATTTCCATGGTTCAAAAAAATAATATTAATAGTGAATTCCATAAAAGCATGAAATTTTACTTTAAAGACCTTTCTGTAAAGTGTGTCTGCTACATATCCCATTTTTTATATTTTGTAATCGCATTAAATAACTTCCGGAAGTAAAAAAACAGACGACAAATTTAAACTCCAAATATTATCAAATAGTCAACTTGACCTAGAAGTTCACGCCCTGAATATGAATGCTTTTAAAGTACATTTGCCGAGTACAGAATGTCAATAGATTATCTCTGGAGACGTAGAAGTTATAAGAGTTTCTTTGAATCAAGAGGAACCGTGTGTGCTTTTAATTATATTATTTGACAAATGGTAAAAGCAGTAGTGTAAAGTTCAGTTTTATAAACCTTTACAGCTATGTTAAAGACTTAAAGTTTTATAATCAAATTATAAATAACACAATATATTGTATTCGTTATTAAAAAACACTAGTTTAATTAATGATTATTTGACGTCTGCCATTTTAATAAAGTTATTAAAAAAAAACAAAGAATATTCTTTGAGATCTTTGAAATCTATTTAGGGGGAAAAAATTTCCGACATGGGCGGGTAAATTACATTGCGCGATGCATTGAGATGCATATAATATATCCATAGGGTGAAAAAAATCGACGATGACGTGTAGGACACGGTAGCTCAATCGGTTAGGGCAGCAGCACGGAACGCTGTGGCTGTTGGTTCATGGGCCGCCCGTTCTATCTAAATAGCTTTAACCCAGAGAGTCCTCAAGCCTGTCTTTTTTAAAGAGTTTGTGTTTTTTCGTCTTTTAGATCATACTGCCATTATTAATCATGGTCACATTAGTGATAATTATCTGCTGACGGTACCGCGTAGCCAACTGTTGCACTGTAGGGCCATTTGTGGCTCGATAGCGAGAAACATCTCTGTTTCGCACTTCATATTCATTAGTTGCAAGGATGTTGTTTTCTTTCAATTTCATAAGCTCTCCATCAATGCGGAAATGTACTGCGTATTTCCATAACTAGCTGATGCTCTGTTTTATGATATTTTTACCCGACTGCGCAAATATTGTTAATGCTTTTGTTTGAGAATATAACAATTCTGTACTGCTTTACTTAAACAGAGACGTTTAGATTTTGAAAAGCCATTGAGATTAGAATCTGTAGTTTATAGTATGTATTTGTTACAATGTGAACGATTTTATCTTGTTAAAATAGCTAATTATTCAACTTCTCAACTTATAAAACAGAATCGTATAGGAGGTCGTGAGAGATGTGCAAAATATTTTCGTAAAGTTAGTAGCGTTCTTTGCTTTTTTAGTCTTAAATAACGTAATAGGTACTAACTACATACAACTTTTTAAAGTTAACCTAAAGAATCACAATGTTATTATTATTTGAAAATTTAAATCGTACATATCTTTTCTAATATATAAACGTCTTGAAAATTAAAAAAAAATTCGCTTGTAGTTCGCATATGATGGTAAACAAAGGTTAAAATTACATGTATTAAGGGTGCATCTATCAAAGGATTGAATAAATTCGACGATGACGTGTAGGACCCCGCTGCAGGTGGCTCAATTGGTTAGAGCAACAGGAACGCTGTGAATGACGGTTTTAGTCCCGACTGTGTTATAAATTTATCTAAGCGCCTTTATTTGTCTTATCTCTAAGAAATAAACATCTACGGCGTTAACGAGGTATTTGCAACAAATTGAGATGAAAAGATGTTTATCGAGGAAGAATTCCTTGCATGTCCTGTTTCTTATGATTGTTTGATAATACGGCACCTAATTTACAACAAGCAATAGTTACCTTTTCTTAGACTTTGCTTTTTGTTTTGCTATCTGGAAGTTTAGTGATCTTTCGGATCGCCTTGTTTATTTGGGATTTTAATGCTTGGGACCAATATGCATAGAGTAATTCTTTTGTGATGTAAATAGGCTGTTTAACGTTGCTCTGGATATAATAGTTTCAACCGGTTCGTATTCGTCGTTCTATTAGAAATTAAAGGCTCTTTTCCGATAGGATTTTTTTCTTAATATTGGAAAACGTCAGCCATAGTTGGCAATCATTAATGCCAATTGAAAAGCCATACACTCTAGAATATCGAGAGGGCTATAAAAAGGCTCTCAACAGATGATAAGATAGCCGCTTTGAACGAAAACACCTGAGACTAGGCGGTAGATTGAATGAAAACATGCGTGCCCGGCCTAACTGACATCTGACATTGGTACAGTGTAGATAAATACAGAGGTGAAAAATTAAAACTATTTCGAAACACAATCGTTTATTTCCTTGGCGGCTATTGGCTAGTAATCTTAACAACGTTTGTACTATTTGGGTTTCAAATAGTGATAATGTATTTGAAAGAAATAGTCTTCTTTATTATGATTTTACGCGATTTAACACTGGAAGAAGTAAATTCAGTTTTGTCTATTTTTATCTTAGCCTTATTTAAATGAACAAACAGACTTAGTTTAACACTAATAGTTGGGTCGAAGTAAAATAATTTGCTATCGCACATACATAAATCACTTCTAGCGCGCCCTGGAAAATGTAACCGGGTACAATTTCTGGGACCACGTTTTCAAAGGACGGAGTTAAAGGATAGATCATTTATATTCAGTCGGGAGAAAAGTCAAAAATCTTAGCCGTATCGTAGTGTGCTGGAGTTTTAAATATTTATATGGAAATACTCATGAGAGCTTACATAAACTTCAAATTTTTAGAAGTATTGAAAAAAATCGAATCGATTCAGGGATGGATCAAAGTTTTATTGATTCATTTAATATTAAATAGTTATTTATTCATATATTAATTATTATGTACTTTTTAATCAAAAACAATTTTTGTCAGAACGTTGAACTAGCTAAAAATATTAAAAGCTCTATTAAAATTTACTCTGTGGATCTTAATCTTTTACCGCTGTCCATGATATCTTTTAACTTGTATTTTTACACTTTGTTCGATTAGTACTGAATGTTAAACGCTAAAGGGGTGTTATAGCTTCTAAATTTAGACAATGTTTTATACTTTTCAATATTTCTTAGGAACACCTTTTTTTTACTGTTGTTGTGAATGCCTAATGCACACCCACGTCGGGCCATAGTGATGTGGGGAGCGTGGTAAATCGTACTACAACCTCCTCGGAGGCAATACCCGACCAGAACCACTAAACACCTCACCAGCCCGCTACGGTGCTTTCGAGAGAGCCCAGGAAACACGTTTGTATGACTCCAAAGCTCCCAGCACCATGCCCATTTCAGATAGGTGTAGTAGGGTATACGAGCTTGTATCTTCTTTTTTTTTAATTTACCGTTACAGAAAATTGTTGAGTTAACAAAATGCGTTACCGGGGCTCGGAAACCTAACTAACCTAGTTTGTGTATTATAAGGGTAATACGGTTATTTTGACAAAAAAAATCCTATACATGCAATTAAAGAACTTGTCCTTAAATAGTAAAAAGTAGAATACCAAAAAGTTTTTACTACCCAATTTCAGGAATAATTACGTGAAAGCCGCACTTATAGCACAATGATCATAAACTGCCTACAAACAATATATGAGTCGCCTGGGATCTGTTCTGGCTTTTTAAATAATCTATTACGCCAAATGAATGTCACAGGAAACTATATCTTACTTATATTTTTTGGGCAACTATTATGAATACTGTCAGTAGTTTACGAGAATAGTACACATTTATATAAAACACTTTAACAGTTTAAAACGCGATACATATTAGTGAAACATATATAAGTGAGACGCCTCCCAGTGACTACGGCTGCTTCAAAGATCCCGAAACGTGGGGCCGAAGTTAAAAATAATCTTTTAATAAGTATAACTAATATATATCGCGTTTTAAACGGTTAATGTGGTTTTATTTAAAACTATTATAAATATAAAATCTGTAATACGTAAAATAATATTCGATCACAGGTGACTGAAGACGAAATGAACTGTGTATATACAACAATTACAATTACGTAATATACAAAAAATATATTATTAACGTCATAAACAGTACTTAAACGCATTGACCCTAGCTACAACGTATATCTAAAACACTTTTCTATGTTCATTATTTGTTAGTTAACGTAAGAGTCTGTATTAGGAAATGATTACTAAATTTATCAAAAATATAGCCATACACTCCGTTGTACTATGGTAGATACATATTTATTCGGTTTTATTTGCATTAACTTACTATAGGCGAAATAATTAATAACCATTCACCAAGGGATTAAACGTGGTCTGTCAACAAGCCTACTCATATCGGTCATTTAAAATAGTTCATTGTGCGCATAAGCTTCAGAAATGATCTTACTTTTATTATATTTTTAGTATAGAAAAGACTTAATAACTAAATTAGGAACAATAGAATATAAGTATAGAGCTATATATTGCACTATGTATTACGTTGATAATTTAAAATAAAATCAGTTAAACTTTTGGACGTGAACCAGTAACTATCAAATTACATCCAAACTATCGGCCATTGAAGACTACGGTTAAAATTTACACTTGTCAGAACGACGAGAAAGAGTGATAGTAACAGTAATAAAGATATATTGCTGTATGTTATCTCAAGTTATTTGTATGCTAATTTTATGTCTTGTTGTTTCAGACACTTTGATCTTGTGGGGTAAATATGGTGAGTATACAGGACACATCAAAATTACAGTTAAATCAGAAAAAAGTATACAATATATATAGTAGTAAATATAAAAATATTATGTGATATCAAGTTACAATAGGTTAAAAAAATTGTATAAGCGCATCGCATCTAAATTAAATGTTTGAAGGCCAAGTAATGTTTACCTTACATCAATCTGTTTATAGACCTCATCTATTCATTAGTATATAAGATATCTATAATTTGAAAATTTAAATTTAAAATATAAATTAACTGAGGCTTACGGAACAAAAGCACCGCGAAAGCGTAGTAAAAATAGGCTGACAGTGCATTTTTGGTTGAAAATCGCTAAGACTATGCAATTAAAATGCACTGTCAGGCATATCTGTGTGCATGTGTATGTGTATTATGCTGAGGCTATTCCTATGTAATTTTCTTCTAAACCTATATGAAGTAACAAACGTCGCCGACAATAGTGCTCATTACTTTATGTAACGAGTCTTGGAAGTTCGCTGTACATCCTTCCCGTTATATGATTATGACGTCACTACTCGTGTCATCGTCAATTTATACATATACAAAAAGACAGGGCTGTAACAACAAAGTTATTCTGTTTGTCAATAATCAGTTGGTCTCTAATTAAATTTTTCGACGGGCTCCTTAGTGTAATGGTAGCATTAAACGGCTATCAATCAATTGGTCGTGGGTTCAATGTACAACATTTTTCTAATCAATTTGTAATTTTTCTAAAACATGTTGCACTTCGTCTCGAAATCTGGATGTTAAATGTGTGGTAGGAATATTTAATTCCGCCCGGGTCACGAGCCACCGTCCACAAACCGAACCCCGCTCTTGACTGTCCTCCTCTATCATTGTGAATTATGGTAAGGAGCTGTAATTAAAATTTACTCAAGAGTTCGATCAGACTTTTTTGCCTGTTCAACCAAAATAAGACTATATAATCCATAAGGAAGGATTCGAATAATTTTATTAACTATAATATTAAGATCGCCTATTTTTTAAAATAGGATGAACGTGGTAATAGAATGTACAAAATAATATAATTAATGTCTCTCAAAATAATACAATTTAATTAGAGTGGTGTATTTGTCTCAGAAATTCAAGTTTTGCTCGGACGGCGACTGTCCTCTTTGGGCACTAGCAGGACTACACGCACTTAGCAGTTTGCCTGCTCCCCTCTTCAGAAGCCTTCTTCACCATGTCCTAGAAGAACAGCCTGTTAGTATTTATTCATGCATTAACTAAATGAATATTTTTAAATTCTGTCTGTAACAATAAAATCGGAATTTTCCAATGGATTTGTAAAATCTATCCTATACCTATATTATGGAATACTGAATTTTCTATCGTGTAATGTATTTATTACTAATTAATGATATTAGTTTTTTACTGTGGTCAGTAAAAGAAAATATAAGAGTCATTTAAACAATTGGTTTTCTACATGAATTGAGAGATATATATATATACAACGTTAAATTATGTAAAATGGTGGTTCGAAATTTGAACTTCAATAGCGAAATTGTAAGTTTTAAATATAAATAATAAAAATAAATTCTATCTAAGAAATCTATATCTATATAGTCTATATCTAAGAAATATCATTGGTTGCTCAGTTTTATTTTTAGGAACAGACGAGTGAAAATACTTTTGCGTTTCAGTATGATTTTTTAAGGAACAATTGTGCTCAACCTAAGCAAACGTTAATGTAGCTTTAGGAAGGTAAGACTTTGAAGATTAAAAAAGTTGGGGTGTTTGTGAACAAGTTTTTATATTGATGCGATGTAACTTCCATTAATGAATCCTAACAATATACCCTCCCGTCTTTACAAATTTGCGTTTATTCCAAATAAAGAAAAATTTAAGGGCTACATTAAATAAAGTACTTACAAAAATTAAGTTATATATTCCGCGATTTAAACCGTTAGAAACGTATTTATTCGCGTAAGTCTACTTACTGACAGTACATAAGACTAGATTGATATTAAATGTGAACTGTTTTTTAATTTTGAAACATATCTATTGATAAAAAAGCGATATCTTATTTGGGTATATTTCTGTGTCCGATTGTGAAAAAATATACACGCCTTTTGCTACTTAATTATTATCTCCTTTTACAAGCTTGGTTTTGAAGATAGGCGAAATGCCTATATTCTATATTTTAGTCCGGAAGGGTTCAAAAGTCACACGAAACGTTTTCCTTATTACGTCTATAAAAAGTCTAACCACTCTTACGTCAGTACGTAATGAAGTCAATTTTTAATACGCATTAACTTAATTCTTTGAAAGTGATCGCTAACTTCAGAAGTTTTGAGATTATTCAATTTCCGATTCGGTACTTTCAAAGGACTGAATACTTACGAACGATTTATCAGTGCTACTGACATACCTACATCTAAAATGGATTTGAATTGCCTTCGAAATAATTTAATCCGTCCCAAACAGCCGTCTAAGTCTTGTAAAGAGATAAAAAAATGCACAGAAACATTTACTAAACATGTAATTGTAATTTACTATAACTATGTAGTTTAAGTTAAAATATAAATCACATCAAGTAATTAATTTTTTTATCTACACAATCTATTATCTAAGAAATTAAATTTTAATAAGATGTCGCGTCGTTTGGAATAGAAACAGTCTAACATTCGTTTCTTTGAATGGTGCTTCTTTATCTAAATTACATTTTGTTTGCTTTTACGTTACTTTGTGGTTCGTAAACTAATAAAGAAACGCTAGATTTCCGAAAAAAGATGGCATTCTTCTAAAATAAGCTTATGGCCGACGCGTCGCGTTTGTTCAGTACGTAAGAGCCAAAACATTTCTCTAATGCTTTAACTAATGAACTTGAAGAAAACGCGCGTTTAAAAACTAGACTTACGCCTAATGCAAAGAAAGGTAACGGATTCTGAATTGTTTCTCGCCTCTTCACGTATTGTTTAAACTTTTTATTATTATCTTTCAACGTCAATAACGACGTTGTTTTTTGAATTATCGTAGACACAACTTTGTAGAACAAAAAATTACATAGCAGACAGAAAAACAAAGAATGGCATCTCTATACTATCTAATATGTTAACAGTTATGCGTAAACCTATAGGTACTTAAAATACAGTATTTATCGATTAACGTAATCATATTAACAATTACAACTCAATTTTGATTTCTAGATACTCATTGGTATGGTTTGATTTTCAGGACGATGGCATTATGGATATCTTGAAGGACACAAACCTTGGTAAGACTTGCTTATCCATTAATGACACTTTTTAATTTACTCACTCACTATTAAAACTCTTGTTTATCTATATAGTTCTTAAGCTACACCTTAGTTAAAATCAGTTTTATTGAATACTCACAAGATCCAACTGGGGCCATTGAGTAACGACTTCGCACTCGAGTAGGAAAATATTAAAGTGTAAATTTAAAATCAATGAAATAATCTTTCAATTCATAGGTTCAAATTCTCCCTTTTTTTTCAAATTATTTTACATACATTACAGCATCACGTGACGAGTGCGCACGCGCAGCGGCTGTCCTCCGCTGGACGTTGAGACAGGCACACCGCTGTGCGTGTAGCGGAGTACAGCTCGCGAGAGATTTGTTGGTGCTGGGAGTACCCCGGGCACATGCAGCTGCGTTGGCCGAGGCAGCCGATTCTACTCAGAAGGCCTATGAAGCTAATGTCAAAACGAATGGCTTTATGAGTGAGTATTTACCTTATGGTCATAAAGTATCAAACAAACTCATAATTATATTGTACTTATTATAATATCATATTATGTAGGTATTATTATTGAACTATGTCTATTATACATTTAATTATACCACGTTTTTCTTTCCTATTTTTAGTAAACAAAATGACAGACGTATTTGCTGCTCCCGGACCAGACGGCACCATAGATACAGTTAAGCTTACAATTACTTCAGAGGATGTATTTTCCGGCACCCATAACAAGATGGATTTGCTCCTAGATAAATCACAGATCAAAGAATTGTTAAATGAACTTAAGATTGCACATAAGAAAATGGAGGAAATTGATTTTGAATAGCTTCCGTAAAGAGTGGCTCTTCGTTTATTTTAGTTTTATTGTAAGAAATTCATCATTAAAAACAAGAATAACATTAACATTTATTTTACAAACATCATTGATAAAATATAATAAATATCTAGTACATATAACAATCTTCCATTGTTAGTACTAGTAAAAAAATAAAAATATGGCGGATTTGGGCCTAAACCGCACCCACGTTTTAAAAAAATGTGTATTTGGGACTTTCTCTATTCAATTATAGTATTTTACCTTTTGATAATCATATTCTATGTTTCGCATTTCTTTGTTCTTTTAAATTATTTTTTACAGACTGTCCGTCTTTATAAAATAATTTGAATACAACATCCTAACGTCGTCACATGGATGGGTTCTAATTTTTTCCAAAATTCTCGAATAGGCAATGTCATCCGGTGTCCTATACGTCTTGCGGGGTAAAAGAGGAATAATTACGAAGTAACATTCAGAACGAGGGTTATGGGTCAACATGTGATCTAAGAAAGTTACTTTGAGTTCGTTATCCATCATCTGCGACATGCAATGTAAAGCATCGGAGAACGACATGTAGATTCTGGGATAATAGGTAGCTATTTCACGATCCAAGAAATCCCCGCAGAATTCGGCCAACTCCTTATTCGTTCTTAGGCTGATCTCATTTTTATCTGTTATGCAACGTACGCACCTATTCAATATGTTTAAGTAACCCAAAATTAATTTCACCGCCGTTATCAATACGTAATTTTCAAAAAAATCCAATTGCTTTTCTAACCTCTCCAAAATATCTTTGAAGATATTTAGAGGTACAATGGCATCTCGATATGTAACATTGTGGTGGATTTCTTTGGTCAAATCTCGCAGTATTGATACAAAAGGCTTGTCTGATAATTTGAACTTCTGGTCTTCCATTATTGGAACCAGGAGACGTTCATAGCGTTTCATTTGTGACTCTACAGAATTGGCATTTAGAAGGTATTCGTGTACTCCGTAAGGACAATAAAAATGTGGTCTTTGTAATGCCTTTTGTAATGCTTTCACCGACTTTTCTATTCCGATTTCGCCTTTCTTCAAAAATGCTTGTAAGTGGCTCTGATCCGGCAGGTTTCGGAGAACACTATGAACTTTATCATAATAATCTTCCTGCACAAGTTCTGGAACGTAAGCATAGTTGCACAATAATGTTAGAAAACTCGATGACTTAAGGATATTTTCATCTATATCGTCAATAAAATTACTTAAAATATTCCAATAATTCATAATGTCCTGCTTATTCTTTGCCTTGCTTAGCAAAGACCAGGTTAGTTCAAAAATCAAAACTCGAGTAGACGGAACTTTAGTTACTTTCCAGATATCTATCAGTAAGTTACTTGCTTCATCATATGTAACTCTGTCCAAAATAACTCTTAAACAATGTCTTTTTAATCGAATTTCCTTACGTTTTCCGCCCATTTGGTCTAACTTTATAAAGACATCACGAACTTGATCGAGGTACATATCATATGTTATAGAATAAAGAGGTGGTAAAAAATAGGACAATTTATTGTCAGTTATATAATCTAATAGGTTATCTAAGGAGAAGAAAGTTTTAAATAGGTGCGCGTGTTTCGCAAGGCTGACTGTGATATCATTGCTCCAGTCAATTTTATTACTTGATAAAAATTCTGAGATCAAGTGATGAATGTCTTTACCAGATATAAGACCCCATGGTATTTTTATATTGTTTTTCATGTAATAATCTTTGAAAGTGACTGCAAAAGAATCGTAATAGTAAACGCGAATCTTATTTAGAAATCTGCGCATAGATTTCTTATTTAGTTCCACAACTATTTTATTTTGATTGTTTAGTTCTGTTAATAATTGAGGGTTATACTTTAATGCATTCATGCACAATTCTGCAGTTATCAATTGCTCTGAATCAACTAATTTAACTTTCATACTCTTTGCCATTTCGTAGAATGTTTTCATATCATCTGTCTTAGTCTCTGAATAAGATTTAGCAAACTCTTTCATTTTGGTAAGTACGTTTGGATGTTCTGCAACTTGTCTATTCCAATCCTTAAATAACTTCAGTATATTTTTACAAGTCACCAATAACTCCTCAAAGTTGTCATCAATGTTAACATTGAGCTTGTCAAGTTTATCTTGCGCCAAAGCCAAAAGGAATTCGAATAATTTATTTTTTTCTTCCGCCTTGAGACTATTTTCAGAATTTTTCATTGTGTTGAACTTAAATTTTGCTATCAAAACGTCCGGTATATCAATGTCATGGACAACATTATACAATATTACGCAATCAACAAATATATCATCGCTTTGAAGTTTCTTTTTATCATAATATCTACGGTGTTTACCAATAATTATAAATGGATTTGGTCTATACTGTGGAAAGTTATTATCCATTCTTGTGTATACTCCCACACTATAAAATATGCAGTTCAAGAGGTTCCACGATGCTGCATTTAATTTTAGTGTATTAACTTCCTTCAATATGTGTTGAAGAAACTGTGTCTTAAATTTTACACCTTCCTGCATGTGAAAGTCGAAGTAATACTGAAGTACAACTTGAATATTATTTGCATCCCTGTGAGCACTGCTTAATAATGTGCAAAGCATATAGCTGCGTTTAGCAGGGTTTGATTCAACAGCAATAAATCGTTTTAATTCTATAAATGCATCATCAAAAGGCAGTAACTCACACCAAAGGTAAGCATTATTCATATTAGTTAGGCAACGGATTAAAGTACTATTACGCAAGTCATTCTCGCAAGTATAGTCAGGTTCCTGTTTACCTATAAACACGTTTTTTATTAAATCAATCTTGTCCTCCTCCGGCAACCGGCGTACAAAATACTTCAACTTGTCGTATTTGTAAAGCCTTTCATATTTTTTACTGCGGCTGTTATTGATTAGGCCATTCTTGATTTCTTCTTTATTGAAAAATTTTGCCAATGTGGGTATATGGATAACTCTAGTAAATCTTAGTAGACTATCTAATGATTCATTTGGGCATCTTTTTATTATCCTTTTTGTGGTTTGTGGTGTAAATTTATCCAAATTATATCCATCTACTAAACCAAAAACAAAATCTAAATATTTTTCAGTGTTATTTACCAGTAAGAGATTGATAGCTTGAAGCAACTCATCATAGTTGCATACATCTCTCTTGCAATAAATGTAAACACAGTTAGATCCATATTTAAACTTCTTCAAAACTGAGAATGGGATTTTTTCAGCATACTTTTCCACAGCCTCTTCAGCTACACAGGGTGAACAATGTGGTAACCACTTAAAAGCTCTCTGAAGGTCTCTTACTTCAAAGTATTTGAAGAATCCATCGACTCGCCCTTCATCTTTCAGTGTTAGACGTATTTTCAGCATCAGCTTATTAAAAGCTTTCCACATCATGAATGGCAGAAGATTAGTATGAATATAATCTGGATTGATAATATGGGAATACTGATCTTCAGTTAACAACCATGTTGAAAGTTTAATGGCACGGGAAACATACAACATATTCTTGCATTTTAAAATGTTAAGAATAAAATTAATATTTCTTGTCCGACAGGCCACTTCTATCTTTAATAAATTATTTATATCTAAATCTTTATAATCAATAGGTGTTATATCTGTTGAAGTCCTGACGGTATTATCGACAAGCTCATTGAATTTTTGGTGTTTTAAACCCAATTTTGCATTCATTGACTCCATTTTTGACCTGGAAAGAGAAAGTACATATTTCTTTATTAAAAACAAATTTTCTTTGCACATTCTTAAAATACTTATATAAGATATTATATGCAATAAGTAGAAACAATCTATATAGAGTTTAATACTTTTATATAATTTATAGAGGTATAGAATATAACAGAGGTGGAGATTATAAAATATGTATAATAATCAGGTTATCAAGAATTTCATAAAATTAATAATGATAATAAGTACTTATAACTTTAAAATAAATATGTATATTTTCCTCATACACATCTAAAATTGCACTCATAAAGGAGTAAATAATTCACTAGCTTAGATTCTTCATAATATAAATAAAATTAATTATTACAAAGTTTAGTATCTTACCGGAAAATTGTTGTGAAATAAAGCGCAATCGGATTTCACGATCAATAATATATTCTTGAACTAAATTGCAAATATTTTATCCTTATATGATAAGTAGAACTTCAAAAAAATACCTGTATTATACAAACTTTTATCTAAAACTTTAAATTAAAATATAAATGTGAAATATAACAAAGAAAAATCAAAGAAAACTTTATGTCGTGGTAAATAAAAATATGAACTTTGACTTTTATGACAAACTAATATGACTTTATCTAAATTCTAAACTCAGGCAAAACTTAGATAAGTTCGATTAATGTGTTACGATTCTAAATGTATCGAATATAAATCGTTTTGAGTTTGAAAACACGTAGATATAAATATCTAGTTTTTGTTTCGATTTCAAAGTTTCTATTTAGAAATAAAATAATTGTCAAACATTAATAGAATTTAATACAATTAATTATAATGTTCGTTTTAAACTAAAATAGGACACATTGAACACGAAGTTCGATTGCACTTTCCACAACGTTTCTGCTTGACATTAACATTGGATATATAAATGACAATTGTCAACACTAGTTGTCAAAACAAAGTTAAACAGTAGTTCAAAGTTTATGCATTTGTTTAATAATAAAAGTTTTCGATCAGGGAATAGATATATTGCGATCATTTAAAATAAAATGAATTATAGCCTCAGTCGTTCCTCAACATTAAAATATTTAAACTAATTTCATACTTTACATATTACGCTCTTAGCAGCTTAATAATTCAGTTAAGATAACCTACAATGAAATAAGTTTTGTTAATAATTAAGAAAACCTAAATAGACACAACAATGCATATATTGTGCACAATTTGTAGTGATCTTGTGAATCCGTCTGAAAATATTCATGTGATCAAATGTGGTCACATCTTTCATTATGATTGTTTAAAACAATGGGTGGATAGGTAAGGGTAGTTATAAAAAAATCTAATTTATCCTAGTAATTGTATTCAAACAAACATTTCTGAAAATGACGAGGGGTGGGTTAATGCTTGACTTTTTACCACTGAGGGTTTATTAAAATTACGTGTTTATTTTTACTACCATAACTATAAAAGAGAAATGTTACATTTTAGCAATAAATCCAAAAATTATTTTCTTATAAGGAGATGTCTGCTTTTATAAAATAATAAATTTATATTTTAGGTCAAAATCATGCCCTCAATGTCGAATAAAAGTTACAAATAGTTGCATATTTAGAATTTACCTTACTGTATCTAATGAAAACACTGAAGAAGATGTTACCACACTACAGTCAAAACTTGATAATACTCAACTCCAATTGCGACAGGCACATATAGATTGCAAGGAGAAAGAAAAAAACATTAGTGACTTAAAACTTGACCTAAAAAAGACTGAGTATGTAAATTTTTCAAATATTAATATTATAGTAATGAATACTGTTTTACTGATAATTTTTAATAATAAGATTAAATGAAATATTTATATTGTGTCTAAACTAAAACATTGTTTCCTAGACAATGTGTGCAATGTAATTTTACTTATCAATACAGTCTACAAGTATAAGTTTTATTATAGAAAACCTAAAACCTATTAAAAAATTTCATTGATGTTTATTGTTATTTTTTTGTAGGGACCTTATTCAAGACTTAGAAAAGAAACTAGTTATTAAGAGCTCAGCTGTAACAGCACTTAAAGAACAATTAAAATATGTACAAATACAAAATCAAGAGACACAAAGGCTTAAGGAAGAAAATGAATTTCTTAAAAATAATGTTGAGACATTGAAAGGGTAAGTAGTTAAACCACTTCTACACTAAAATTTGGTCTTTATTTCTTTATTTTAAAAAATATCAATCTCAGCACAGTACACTACTTAATTTTATGATTTATATGTATTGAACTAGTTTACAGAAAGTGTTGAACGCATGCAGCGAAGAGGTTGAGAAGATGTTGCCAGATTACAATGATATTCGTACAATTGCCATGTTTGCTACGTCATTGAAAAGGTTATCCTATCTCATCTTGTATAGATATCTCTTTAATTTTCCATTTGTTTTTGTCCTTTTAAAAAACTATTATCCTATTTCAGAGCTCTATGTGATTCAGAGAAGAAAAAGAATGAATATCGCAATCAAGTACAACAGTTGAAACAGAAGCTTGACAGCGAAAAGGCAAAAACACAAAAACTTCAGATCAAATTGAAGTTAGTTTAGTGTTTGTATTAACTAGTAGTAAACAAACTTAAGTTACTTTTAACATCAATTTGTAAACTCTATATAGAGATCTTTCATATTGTTTGTTTTTTATAGGTTTTGGCTGACTTATGTGAGACTTTCCATTACTACACCTTATAACAAAATATTATCTGGCCTGTAACGTGCCATCCCAGATCAATTTGAAAGAATTTTTCAAACCAGTCTGGTTGTTTCCGATTACTTATTTGCTCACACAAATTTATGCTTTATAAGTAATTATACACATTGTTTTAGCCAAGCAATTTCTGATGCAAGTATAAAGCAACAGAATACCTGTTTGAAAAAAGAGTTGAGTAAAGTAACAACCCATGACGACTCAGCGATAGATATCACTATACAAAATAAGACACGAGAGAATGGAAGGAGTTCAGACGACAGTTTCGTAAGTAACATTTTATTAGGGCTGGCAACATTTTGTACACATCCTGTGTGAGTTAAATATAATATGATGAATTTTTCTATTACAACTACAACTACAATTTCTATAATCTCTACGTCGACCATTGTTATTGTTCTTTATTTTTTCCTAACAAATCAATAAGATATCATATCAAACGACATACCCAAAGCGGATCGAAAGAACTGAGGTGCTTTGAGAAGCTGCCGAAACCAAACTTCGCTTATCTTGTTTCACGTCCCTAAATTTATAAACACAAGTAATATTTTTTTATTTCAGACACACCTTGTGGATAAAATAGAAAATGCGGATTCACCATATCTTAATTTAAAACAGAGCAGTCTCTCGCTCACCGTGCTACAGCGACGACCTAATCATCAATTGCCTGATAAAAATCTTAAGGTAAACTAAGAAAAAATACTATTTGCAAAAGTGTCACAAGTCTGAATTCATTTATAAGCGTAGATCCACATTGATTAATTTTAATATAGCAACATAAAACATTCACTTTTCAGCCATCAGAATATGCGTTAATAAACTCTGTCAAGGCATCAGTGGCCAAACAACAAGAAAACTTGAGCATTTTCAAAAAGAAAGAGTCTGTGGTAGAAGTAAATGAAAATTCCGGTGGTTTGATTGATATTTCATACGACGGCCTCGGTGGACACTCTAAATTGGATATTTTCCCAGTGCCTACAAAACCGGGAAAGAGCTGTATCCCCAAGTTAACAGCTAAACATAAGCTGAAACGACCGCCATCAAATACCCAGGACTTACAGAAATACTTAAAGAAACGAAAAGATAGTTAAAATTTACGTCAATTTCAACCGCTTGTATTATAACAAATGATAAGTGTGAATTCTTCATCACATAAAGTTCAAATATTTTTCATGACTAAAAACTAAGAAAATGACATGACTTTTGAATGTATTATTTATTAGAAAATAATATCACAACGATTATTATGTTTATGTTATGTATTTTTGTAATAATTTATTAAATCCCACCAAGTTATTATGTAAATAAATGAATAAAAATAGATTTTGGTAATAGTAGTTTTTGTTCAGACATGGTAGGTTAAGGGAGAGGTAAAGGTATTTTACAGTGTTTGACCAAAAGTTATACAAATTGCAACAGAGGGGAACCCCTGCGTATGACTTCTCCCTTCCCTTATCGTGCTCGAAGTTTCTAAGACAACAAAAGTATGACTACGCTTTAGATATTTGATACCATTATAGGCTGATGATTTGAAAAGGGAAGAATATAAATATTAAATATTTTTTTGTACTTGCTGCGACAATATAATAGATTAAAATTAAAGTGATACAGAGAAAATAATGCTGATATATATTTTAAATTGCAACTTTTGCAGTCTTTATGTCACAAATAAGCGTCAAATATCAAAGTTGTCATTTATAAGTAATAAATGACAGTTGTGAAAAAATAAATCATACGTAGTGTCGCTCTCGCAAACGGATTGGATTATTTTTAAAATGTTAAATACTAAAAATAAACTTTCGCTAGAAACTGAAGCAGTACATAGTTTTCACTGCTTTGACACAGTTTCGTGTGCCCCGTGAAGGTGTTTTGTTTATAGAATATTTATCACGCGAATTATTGTTTACGTTTCCTTGAATAATCATACGCGATATCTGAGTTCCTAAAAAAGCTTTTATTGTTGAAACTGAACCATAATTTTTTATTTTATCCATTCTTAAAGAAAATGAATGTAACCCACTATATAATGTCTTGTATAAATAAATGTATCTTTGTCATTATTCATTAACGAGGTAGACGATGTGCTAATCTTGACTGAATGAACGTGATAAACGATGATAATATTACTCTAATACCTAAAGTAAAGTGAAAAATGCCTGGGAAAATAAAAGTTAAGGTGTTGGCGGGACGAAATCTGCCTGTTATGGACAGGGCTAGTGATACAACAGATGCTTTTGTGGAAATCAAGTTTGGTGGGATAACACACAAAACAGATGTGTGCAGGAAGTCTTTGAACCCTCACTGGAACAGCACAGAGTGGTATAGGTTTGAGGTATGAGTGAAAATTAAATCTTTCAATTCATATTCTAGAGGGCCTAAACAACTTTACTTATTGATTTGTATGTATAGTTTTCACTCCAACAAAGTATCTATTTTGTATTAATAATATGCATTGTAAAATAATAGTCAAATGATTTTTATCTTTACTATAGTACAACTATATCCATATTTTTAAATATAATATCTAAATATATTTTAAAATAAGTATATTATTTCTAGAGACTTTTAATTTCTTATAAACTACATTAAGATAAAGCTTGTTTTGGTTATTAAACTCAACTCTATTTCAAAGATAATCAAGAAGAAAAATTGCGTTCGAAACTTTCTAATAATTACTAGGATAAAATTGAACCCCCTTTTTTAAGATTTTAAATTCTACATTGAAAAAGTCTTTCAGTATAGATAAGGGATAAATCTTTAGGGCAGATTAAAAAAACTAACTCCAGATCATAAAGTCTGGATTTAAATTCCTGAGTTGGGCATAGTGTTCATTATTTTTCGGAGGCGACATTAGGCCATCAGTCCAGTTGAACCTGCACTGCAGAAATCTTGTGGATCTCAGCTCATAAACATTCCTAACTATCAGAAAAGAGCCCTATTCACACTTTTATGTTTACAACAAATATCATTTGATAAAATGCAATGAAACCTGATTGAGTGGGACATAAATAAATGAAAAGCCACATCATTGAGTGTTGCTATGAAGTCCTGGTCCTTTTCATTAAATTACCTCTTTTAGTGGAACTTTTGAACAGGGTAAATGAGATTCGGATTCTAAAACTATTTCAACGTTTATCTCTTTAATTGAACCTTCATAGCTCAAATACTTGTGTCAGTTATGACATATTTGTTTAAAAAGCATACGCGGCAGCCCCTGTAGATGAGACAACTATAATCAATTCTAATTATGCCGTTTTCAATCCTGCTTAATTAGGAAGCTGGTTTATATATGTCTTGGTCACTTGAGATCCCAATTAACCAGGTTTCACTGTATTTGAAGACATTTTAGAAGACCTGAAGACGTTACCTGTGCACGTCACATTTTGACATCACAAATGACGTTGACCACATTTTGGAGTTGGAAGCGTAAATATTTCAAGGTCGCTTTTTTTTAAGATTAATAATTTGGCGATGTCGGGAAGCGGGCTATTTTCGATGCCGTCTGGCTCGAGTCTATCGGACGTAACATGGTAGCATTATCTTATTTACTTCTATATGAAATTCTATTTCTAAGGCTGGAAGCATTGAATTAATTTAAATCTGAGACTGAATAATTTTGTTATTTATTTTGAAACTCTTAACTTAAATAATACACAAATAATAGTTTAAATGCAATAATTTCAGAACTATAATTATCAAAATGCATATATTTAAGATGAAAATATGCTTGTACATAATTATTCAAAAAAGGAAGCTGAAACACATTTTTTGTGTTGTCTGGGGGATTTTTTAATGTTAAAACTACTTAGTTTAAATGATCTATTTTTTAAATATTTTTAATAACTATTATTTTGTACTTTGTCTAGTATGTTCGCATTTCACACAATCTTACTAAATTAAATAGAAGGTAATTTATTTTCAAGGATTCCATTTCTTTTAAATAAAACACTTTAACGGTTTAAAACGCGATATATATTACACTTATTTGAAAATTATTTTAACTACGGCCCGACGTTCGGATGCCTTGCAGCACGTGGTCCCTGTTATAATGTTTTATTTAAATTTGTCCTACTCGCGACTAACAGAAACTACAGACAGTATTGGATTTCATATCTTACAAAACTATATTCTAAAATAATTATTACTTTTACAGGTTGATGAGGCGGAACTGCAGGATGAACCGTTACAGCTTCGACTAATGGACCACGATACATATTCAGCTAATGATGCGATTGGAAAAGTGGTCATCAGTCTTGCACCGCTGTTGGCTAGAGAAGCCAATAACACGAACGGAGTTGCGGGACCACCAGGAGGTTAATACATAAACCTTTTACAGTAGTAAGCTCTGAAGTATAGTCATCGTCGAGGACATTTTTTATTTAATTTAAAAGAGATACACATTTTTACATTTTTTTACCCGTTTTCTCAACGCACGCAACGGAAACCCACAAGGGTGAATAATTTTCCCCGATTTTTCCACATTCCCCATTGTTTCTTCTATTGGTCACAGCTATGTTTTATATTCCAAAAGCCTTCCTCGACATATAAATGTCGATCAAAGTGAATAATCGACCAATACAAATATCATTTTTCAATTCGAACCAGTAGTTCCTGAGATTAGCGCATTCAAACAAAATCTCCAGCTTTATATATTAGTACAGATAGATATGTACGTATTAAATATACCTATATAAGATCTAAAGTAAACCCTTATAACACGACTGTATAACTAATAGCACTATAGTTAAAGCCTACTTATACTATTTTTTGCCAGGTGCCGTTATGTCCGGCTGGATCCCAGTCTTCGACACGATGCACGGTATCCGTGGGGAGCTAAACGTGATTGTGAAGGTAGAACTTTTCTCAGACTTCAATAAATACAAGACTTCTAGCTGTGGAGTGCAGTTCTTTCACTGTAAGTACCAAATGTTTAAACCTAATTTCTTTGCCAGTGCCATTAATTCCGTTGGTTTAACAGTAGGAGTTAAGCTGTTTTTTTATGTTTTTTGTTATTAAGGTTAATAGTCTTTACCAACATACAAGTTTGCACTATACAATCTTTCGGCGTTAATAAAACACTTTTAAATTCGCCGTGGTCACGAGAGCACCTTCGTGAACTACACGACACGGCTGCTGCAAAGCATCCAAAACGTCGGGCTCGAGTATCTCAACAATAAATCGTTTTAAACCGTTAAGTTTTTATAAATCGCGTACACAACAGACAATATTTCAACTTTTGCCGTTCACTATTGCGAAATATAAAATCCATATTCCCTATGTGACTATACCTCATATTTACTACTGAGTGATTTTTTATATTTTCCCACTTAACGCAACGCTACGTGTATTATAAGAATCAACTAAGATGGATTCAGTAAGAATTATGTTGCTGCTCCAGGTCCTATGATTCCACCTGGCTACCGAGTATCCTCAATTCACGGTTTCGTTGAAGAGCTAATAGTGAACGACGATCCTGAGTACCAGTGGATAGACAAGATTCGCACCCCCCGAGCCTCCAATGAGGCGAGACAGGTCGCTTTTATTAAGCTTAGCAATCAGGTAAAACGATTTTCAGTATATATCCCATATACGTGACTTCATATATTTTTAATAATGTGTTTATATACTGACCTAACTATTGACGTGTAGGACACGGTTGCTCAATTGGTTGCGAGCAACGGCACGGAACGCTAGGTTAAGTAAGCCGGGTCAGGTGCAACCCGTGCCGTATTTCTTATAATTAATAATCGATATATTATTGTAATTATATAGTGCCACATAAAAAAATATTAAAGTTTTAACACGTTAAACTTTGTAACTTCATCTTCAATGATTTTCTTAAGCTGCAAAGCATAAGTTGAATTTACATTGTAATCTGACTTTAAAAATTAATTAAATTTCGAATGCTTAAAATGATTATGTATTTTTTATTTTGAAATGCCAGGTTCAACGCTTAGTGGGTTTAAAGGCAGCTGAGTTGGGTGCGAACGCCGTGGTTGGCTACCAGCAGGATTTTGACCTGGAAGGCGAAGCTGGTGTCGTTGCCAGAGCTATTGGTATGTTCTTGATTTTATTCTATAATAATTTTTGCTTAGTAACAACACTACGCGTAAATTTAAATTTATCGGTGTCAATCGATCGTCATTAAAAATTGCAGAGAAACAATAAAAAAGAAAGTAAAATACCAAACCATTTGATTTTGCAAACAATGATTTTTTCGAAAGTTGCGTTTGAACTAATGAGAATCAACTATATTAAAAATATGTAATTCAAGGAACGGCAGTCAGCATATCCCCTATACCTTTGCCGAGTCAACCAATGACAGTACAGCTAACACAACAGTGAGTTTAATTCCTATATATATATATATATAATTTTCTACCAACAATTATAATATTCTAAAAAGAATTTATGAAAAATAGTGACATGAATATAAATACCATTATATATTTCTTAATAATTTACAAAATATTTATTATCTTATTAAAAAATACTCATGAAAATTTCTTTGCATGGTTTGTCGTGTAACGCGCTTGTATGCAATACCGTAAATCAGACAGTTAAATAAGTACTTGGACATTTTAGCGACTGACGACGAAAGCGTGGCCGATCTTAAGGAATATTATCACCATCACCAAGAGGAGTTGACGTTAATTGTTAATATACTTAACCCAAAAACACCAAATATGTTGGATGAACCTGAAAGTCTAGATGATGATGATAAAAGCTTTGACACGATTAAACCTACCCATAGTGTATATGTAGGCAACCAATCTATATACCAAGACCTAACATCTCAAACCGGCCTCAAACATATCTCGGATGACCAATCTGAGTTGAACAAACTCTTGAATCGTCACGACTCAGACTCGGATTCGTCGGGACCAATAGGAAAAATAAAGAAAATGAAATCTCACCTATTCTCAAAACGATTCTCTCGACGCAAGTCCTCCGCAAAACAGGACGATCAGGTCTCGATAAAATCCAGTTCGTCAGATACGTCACGTATATCTGATATCAGAAACGAGTTGAAAAAACTAAAGAGGCTTAAAGTCCGTAAATTAGATGAAGAGGAAGAAGATGGAATCAACATGGCGTCGATATTAGCTCGATCAGTGATACATGCGCAGACGAGTCTAGCTAGAATATCAGAGTCACAAGATTCCGAACCCTCTCCCAGTTCGACTTTGAGACGTATCAGTGATTCTGAACCCATCGTAAACTTGCTCCCTATTGAAAAACCTGAAATTGAACCGAAGGGAAATGATGAGAACAAAATACCAGAAATCCATTGTGCTTCCATGGAAAATCTATCTAACGTTGCCACTGCGCCAACCGAAAGAAAGATTTCTGATTCTTGCCCTACATCGCCGGTAGTGGTAAGAAGTGAAAATCTGCTCAAACTGCCCGGAGACGCAAATTTCTACGGTTCAGTTTCCTCTGCACTATCAGCTGAGAGCTCCGACATTTATTCCACATCCGATGAAGATGAGGACAGTTTTAATTTGAGAGGTGAAACTGTGGGTTCTGTTGTCAAATCGGTATTAAATCACGATGTAAATTCTGAATTTATCGCTCAAATGGAACGGAAACTTACAGTATTGAATGTAGGATCCTTTGATAAAAATGATGGCGATGCTCAAGTAACGCTACACCGTGACATTGATAATCCAAGCAGCCAACTAGAAACAAAAGATCTGGAAGAGCCTTCGGATGACAAAATGTGTGTAGACAGAAATAGTCATCATCGTTCTTTTAGAATTCCCAATCCCTTTGCACATAGAAAGCTAGGCAGTAGCTTTAGTGCACCGTGTTCCCCTGTCGAAAAGAAGGGCTTTATGTATCGCTCATCAAAGCGCATAAAGCGACAGCTTTGCAAAATCTCTAAGAGCAACATGATTAAGAGCCTGTCTCACTATTCCTTGATGCCAAAGAAAAAAGATCCAAAACCGTCTATAAGTGAACCTGGCTCATCCTCTGACGTGACGTCTAGAGCTCCTAGCGATACGGTTCTTGGCGCGCCGTTTCTTTCCTACACCGATTTGCTAGCTCTGGATAAAACCGCATTAAGTTCAAATCGTCTGTGTAAAAGCGATGAGCTCGTCGGACCCTCCCAAGTTTCCATGTACATTGGTTCCGAACCCGTATCGAGGACCTCATTTAGTGGGCCATCTATATCTTACCTTAAAGACGATCATCGCTTTAGTCAGCAAAGATCCATTAAAAAAGAAAAACTTGCGATCAAGCCTTCTAGCTTAGTGCAAACTGCAATGGAGACGATTCTAATAGACAAAGTCCAGTCTCTATTGCTACCTACAAGCCCAGATAGCGCGACAGCTAACAAAAAGTTCTTTAGTGACGTCAACGAAAAATTGGAGACAGTAGAGAGGGATAGACATAAAAGAGAAAAAAGGTTGAGGAGGCAGGACAGCGTCGAATCGACGACGTCGCATAAAATGTCCAAGGAAACTAACGCTCCATGCAAGTTAACTCACACGCCAGTTTCACAAACCTTTCATCCCGTTCTTAGCGCACATTTAGAGACCATACCATCTCTACCGGAGAGCAGTGTAGATAGATCGGAGAGTATAGACGTAGATGGCGTAGAGTGTGATACTAACAAGGCTAGCGTGTGTGGTAACTCGCATGCAGCGTGCGTTGACAGGGATAAGTGTGAGAGGGAGAAGCAAGATAGGGAGAGATGCGAGAAGGAGAAGGACAGAGGATCGCCCCGGCATGCGAGGCACGAGTCGTACGGGGGACGGGAGCCCAGCGGTGTTCAGAACGCGTCTGTCAATTCTACGTCCACACCGATGGGGATACACCGGCGCTCGTCGGACTCGGATCTCAGTATTACCCCTAAAGGTACGTATATTCCTTAATTTTGGATAATAATTATAATTACAAGTTACAAGATGTTTTTAATGTCGCCAAGATTCACTTTCTGTATGATTGCATAGGCTCCTTTATTTATAACATATATATCACTTATGTTCAGCAAGGAAAAGTATTATAGATTCAAACTTTACTTCTAATTCCAAAACAACACTTTTTTGTTACAGTATCATTCAATAAGGGTTATAATATCAAATTCTTGTATACAAAAATTCGTAAAAGAGAAAGAATAACAATAAAATCTTATACACTTTAATGCTCTTAAAAACACATTCGTAATTAGTCAAACGATTTCTTATTGCAATACAAATAATCGATTTACGCATGTATGTTAAAGAATGTAACTAATATTAATTTTAGGTAGTTCCTTAAACGCTTCTCTTGGCAATACGGGCAGCGGTGGGGGAGCTATACTGCGACCTTCCATGAACAGCAACAACTTGGAGATGCTGGAGTACCCGTTCTTGACTATGACAGAGTATCCGCCTGGATTCATTGTACACATCGGTAAGCCATTGCTACCATTAACAATGTATAGCTAATAATAAACAATAGGTCAGGGGTTCGATCCCCACCGAGTCCAAAATTTTTCTTATTAATTTATAAATTTTCTGAAACACTCTCTGGAAATCTGGATATTAAAAATAGGTGGTAGAAACTCCGTATATGTCACGAACCGCTAACGGCAAATGAAAGGGCATTTAAGTTTAATGGCGTTGCGGTTTCATTATATAGATTTCCGAATATCAAAGCCGAAATTGTTCGACAGGGCATCTTGTTTAGATGTTATATGACTAGAGGCTTACACCTGCCATCAAACGAACTCTTGCTTTACTAACCTCTATCATAGAAAGAATATAATCAGCTATTTAGATCAACGGTAATTATTTTACAGGTGGTACAGTGTGTGCTCGTTCGGTAAAACTAGTTGACGGAGGCGGTGAGAGTAGTTCGCGAGCAGCTTGGTGGGCCGAACTGCGAACCGAGCTCCGTGCGCATGCGCGAGCATTACGTTGCACCGCTGTTCTTGCGTACTGTGAAAAGGCTGCTATACGGTACATTCTACTTATGTATATATAACTAGCTGTGTTAGCGACTTCGTCCGCGTAGAATAGTTATTTTGGGCATCACAATTTGCCTTTTAGCAAAACCTCTCCCTAATCCAGCGCGTCCCGTCGTTCTTCCAAGATATTCCAAAGATAGACATATAATTGTTGCGGACATTTTTTTAGATCATTTAAAGAGGAATCATTATTTCATGCGTCTTCATTCATGTTAAAGTAAGGTAATTTCTTTGGGTATCTTGAATCGTTTTTCGGAAACCCTGTTCCTTCGCTCCTATTAGTCACAGCGATTTGAACTAGTAGTTCCTGAGATTAGAGCGTTCAAACATATAAATAAATAAACAAACTCTTCAGCTTTATATATTAGTAAGTATAGATTGACGAAGTATTTTTTTGAATATCCAAACCAAAAAGAAACTGAAATCTCTAATCACAGATTTAAGATTTAGGCTATCACCCTTAGCAAATGGTCTGTATGTGGTAAAAATACATACTGCATATGTTACTTAGATATTTCTATTTACAGTATTAAGTACAATAGTTATATGCGATAAGGCCGCCCTTGCGCAAACACTTTATTTATATATATTATTATTATATTACGTTTGCGAATTCATTAAATATAGTATCTTTATTTATAGTGAGGACGTTTGTGTCCTGTCAGCGTCAGGAACAGCTGCCGTTATCAATCTGGACTGCGACTTCAATACAGATGAACCAACTGTCTCACGTATGTAGAGATCATAATTACTTTTACAATTTTATATATTATAGAAATCGAATTGAAGGAATTTCGTTTAAATAACTATTGTTGTTCCATTTGCCTTAGTTAAATTAAAAAATCGATTTTAGATTTAAAAACGTTACGACACGGGCTGGACTTGAACCGTCATTCATAGCGATCCGTGCTGTTTCCCTAACCAATTGAGATACCGACCTTCACGTCATCTTCCAATTTATTCAACCTATTGATATATGCACCTCTTGTCTTAGTTTAAGTGAATTATTCGGTGCAACTAATACAATTAAAATATAGAATAACTATTTCTGTGGCGTTCATTTGAAATTTAAAAAGTACCTTTTCTCATCTGCAATGCACTTTTCTATAGATTTATTTGAGTAGAACAAAGTGTATTCTAAACTTATAAAATAAATATTATGTAATCAAATAATTAAACATGATTTTTAGTTACAAATGGATCCAAAAACACAATAGAAGAGATCGAATCTGGGTCTTGCAGTATGGCCCACGTACCCTATTCACCTGGCGCGGGGCCCTATAGAGCAGAATTGGCCGTCTGCGGAGAATGCAGGTATGTTATGAAAGCAAAATACAACAAAGCTATACTCAAATTTAGCTTTATACAAGTAACATATAGGTGTCTAAAACAAATTGATACAAAAGCTTTATGAGGGTAGTTGCATATTATTACGCAGTGCACCGACATACGACTTGACACGTTTGTCATGTTTCAGACGAGCTCGCGTCCCTACTGTTCTGCTTGCTACCTGTGCCAAACCGAGTAAACTCACCTCATATGCAAAGGCCGTCACTCTTACTGCTGTCGGTATGTAATAAATAAAATAAATCGGAAGAAAAATAGGAACAAAACTGGCGAAGTTAAGATCTATGCCAAGAATCTATGTGACGAGGCATAGTTTGAAACAGCTAACTTTTTATGTCAATCTATACAAAATCTGCTAAGCTTTTTTTTTAAATTAAAAGTAAATTAAATAATAAAATATCAAACTACAGCTGCGCGCAGTCGCCGCGCCCCGCCTGCAGCCGAACCAGGCGCAAGAGATATTTCGGACCAGCTACCGTTTTTGGAGTACGAACTACACAAACTATTACTAGCGAAGCTCAGAATGCAGGTAGAGAATATTTTAATATAACAAAAAATCTGACACCATTATACTCTACATATCTGCCACAATTAATGAAATCTTTTTTCTCTTCAAATGTATAAATAAAGTCTACGTTTCATCTTTCTTCTACCATATTTTGTCATTAAAACTTGATATATTGTACTAATTGTCCTTAATTTCGAAATACCTCCGTTTTAAAGGGAACAACAACATTTTTTGTTAATTTATTACACTTAATAACATTTACAATTCTTATAATATATGTACATAAAAGCCGTCTAGTGGTTTATGCATATCGTTTTTACTACCCTTCGTCCATAAAAACTATAATATCCCCCAAATTGCGTTGATAACACTTCAATAATAATTTAATATAACCGCATTAGCAATATCAAGTAAAGTAAGGTAATTAACAATATGTTTACAGGGTGCAAATGCAATATTCTCTCTACAGACACAAATAGCAATAGGTGAACGATGCGTAATGGCACTTGCTACGGGCACCGCAGTGCGTCTAGCGGCTTTACCGCCGCCAGCGCCACCGAGGATTAAGGTATAATTCTAAAATGAATGCTCATGTCATATAATTTCTTATGTCATAATTATCACATATACAATTTAAATTGTAGGCATCAGAAAAGGACAAAGATGCACTTGAGATTCAGAAGGCTCTGTGGGATACTTTCACAGCGAACAAGGCAGCTAATGGCTATGATATAGGTCAGTTCCATAACTTGATTATTTGTTACATAAAATAAAAAAAACTATGTCTTAATGTCCGGCGGCCTAACTTGATCTTAATTAGGATGTATCTGCGTCTAACTGTTGCTACAAGATGTCGCTTTTTAAGGTGGTGTAAGCGAACAAACACGTGCAGCAGTAGAAAACGAAGGGGAAGAACCTCCGGCGCTTGACCTCTGCGCTGATAAAGACGCTTGCGTTTTGGAACTTGATGAAGCTGAAGATGTAAGTACATATTAAACGTTTATACAGGCCCTGGACTAAAATCCAGGATTTACAAAATGCACTGTTTGATGATTGTAAAAAAATAATGTATTTTAGCTAAAAGTTTACTGTTTTTAGATAAACATTTTTTATATTAATTTAGGTGGAAACAGCGAAATTGCTAGCGAGTCGTCGCACCAACATGCAAGTGTTTACCGATTCGTTGAAGCCCTCTACGTCGCCGTATGCACAACCCTACGCTTTTACGCAGGTATTTACTGTGTCTATAAAAAACTTTATTTTGGGGGTTGTAATAGTCTTTTTATGTACTCGCAGTATCATTACTGTAACTTAGTATTTAACTAGCCGTGCCAGCGACTTCGTCCGCGTGGAATAGTTATTTTGAGCGGCAAAATTTGTTTTCTTCTTTATATCTTTATAAATTATAGCCACGACGTTGTTGGCGTCCCGTAGTTCTTGCAAGTTAGCCTTAAAAGATGAGAAAATTCTTTAAACCCAAGATAGATATATATGTATTATCTCGGCCATTTTTTTGGATCGTTTTAAGAGGATCATTCCCGACAGCTATAACCAACAGAAAAATATTTTTTCAATTCGAAGCAGTAGTTCCTGAGATTAGCGCGTTCATACGAACAAACTCTTAAGCTTTATAATATTAGTATAGATATACTATTTAATATTACTCTGTTTTCAATTAGGTTTGGCGTACACGAATTGGCTCTGTGGGTTCTATCGCCGAGCGCCTAGTATCAAGTGCGCTTTGTGGTGCCGCGTACAAGTTGAGAAGACTGCAGCCAGCTGCGCTTGCGCCGCCTACTTTCCAGTTGGATTTGCCAGAGGTAATTATTACTTATTATATCATAACTTCTCTACCAAATGAAATCTTTACATATAAATCACAATTAAGGATTTATATGATATTTCTAGTTTTTTAGTATAGGTTTTTTTTGATTATTTAGTTTTTTCTAAAACACGATTCAAGCGCCTTTATCTTAATTGAAACGTTATTGCTAAAACCAACTTCTATCTGACATAGTATTTACGGGAAATATCTGTGTATATGGTTGGAGGAAATTATGTTTAATATACATAGTCTTTTGCCTCTTTCAAACTATTTATGATTCACAGGACGAGATCCAGCTAGTCGTATCAGGGACAGCCATACCTCTTCAAGACCCAAGCAAGGACCATTGCAACGGAGCTGATAAGGAGACACCTCATGATGATGATATCTTTACTCTGGATGAAGAGCAACTCACTAAGACTAACACTGAATCATACGATGAGAAGAATAATACTCAAGTGAGTAAGGTAATGGTGGAAGGATTATTTCAAATACATTTATGTGTATCAATGAAAGAGTAGCTGAGTAGTAGCTAAAGACTAAAGCTAAGCTATAAAATCTAAAAATCTATTAGTCTGGCTACGAGAAAACATTTTTAGTCAGTCTTGTAAGGAAAGAAGGAAAAAAACACACACTTATTACTATTACAGACAACCTACGTTCCAGGTATCTTAACGTAACCAAGGTAACCCAGTTAGATTTTCTAATAGATCGCTCTAGCGTAGCAGTTTTGACTTTGACATTAGGGACACTCTCCATTTTCAGTCTATGTGTGACCATGCCTACTGCAAAGCAGAACTTTGAGTTGTAATTAAAACAAACCAAATAATATTAATTAAACAATATAAGTGTCTTATTATAATCTATTCGTGTACATTTTTGATTTTTTGTTATTTAGGCATTTATAATTGTTTTTGAAAGTATTATTAGTATATCAATGTTTTTTTCCAAGGGCGGACGCGTATCCCTAACAACGCTCAGCTCCATCAGTGGCAGCCGTTTATCGAGACGCGTTTGCGCATTGCGTTTACTCTTCGTCAGAGAAACGACAGGAGTTAGAGAGTTGGGCGGATTGAGCGGCTTCTTGCATACATTTACTTGCGAGGTTAGTTTACGTTTTTTATTATGAACATTCGTTTCTTTACTGCAGTGCTTTATTTAGATAAATAGTTACAGGTTATAAGTAACAAATTGTATATATTCATTACTTTTTAATCTATTTTTAATGACGTCTTAATTTTGTTGTTTCAATTTTGCGTTGGAACTTTACTCGTATCTTTGTTTTCAGGTACTAGCTATAGTCAGGGCGTATACATCGGCGCTGGGCGGAAACGCCTTAACATCCTTCTATATTACACATCTTATGCTACAGGACAATGCGCATAAAAATCAGGTATCTATGATTATATTTATTTAGTCTCATCTCTTAAATATCCCTTGAGCTGTCTGTTATGCCCGATTGAACATTAGGGAATGCTTTGGTTCCCGTTCAAGGCCTGCCCGTGTCGTACAAATTGTTTCAATCAAAGTCGACTTATAATTGAGTTATAACTGTTCTACGACGCGGGGGTCTAAAGCAAATTTTTTTTTCAGGGACAGTGTTTGTTGTCTGTTGGCGGTGACGTGGTTCATATGACGTATTAAATACCATGACATATCTGATAAAATTTTCAAATTAAAGTTCACACCTCGCAATGATTGGATTATTCTTGACCATTTATCGCTTTGATTTTGGAACTTCTATAAATGTTAGATTTTTTATCAGTTTTATAAGTAGTTGTTTGATATTTACATATACATTGCTCATTGACATAATAACCTTCATTTCTTTGTAATTTAATTATAAGTGAATGTTTATTTATTGTGTTAAATGACTGCCGATTTTATACTTACATAATTTATTTGATATTTGTAATGAGGTTTGATGTGTACTTTTCTATTACCAATAAATAAAATTATGATTATGTGAATTGTATTATTTCAAACTAAGTGCTTCTTAAACTAAGGAGTTGATAGAAACGAAGGTGTGCCTGCTTCGTTGTGTATTTTCCAACTGCTATTACACATCCACGACCATTTATCCAGGAAGATTTTTGGCTATATAACTTTACGCTGCGACCAACAGGCGAAATGTGGAGAAAACCGGGAAAGTAATTAATGTTTGAGGGCTTCCATTGCGGCGCTGCGAAAAAGGTTAGAAAAACCAAAAATATATTTATGCAAGAATGTATATGTATGTTCTTATTTTAAAATTAACTCGCAAGAACCGAATACTCAAATTTGGTCGAAATTAATTCAATATTACCAATTTGTTAGAGTTGTATCACAATAATGATTTTAATCTTGCAAACAACAAAACGTCGTTTGTTGCGTGCAAGTGAGTTAATCGTAAAGAATCAAACACTCAGAGCTTCACAAATATGTATTTATTTAAAACATATTATATAATTGCATATCAAACGAAATGCTACATAATGACAACAACTTACAACTATAATACTCGAAATAAGTACATTAATTATTCTACGGGGAGAGAGACGATGGATTCGACGTTTGGATATAAATGCCTTGATACTTGAAAAATAAATGATATTTTAAATATCGTGACGAAAAAGATAACAAGCGTTTACCATCATTGACCAATGACAAAATTAAATTAACAAATCAAATAAGGATGAAAATTTATGAAATTATTATTTTCTTTTTAACTAAGATATGACTTTTATAGTTGCTTTTTCTAGTACTAGTTAAACGGTGACAATGACTACCTTACACGTTTTGGACAAATAAATAGGTTATATTAATTGGCGTGGAGCGTTTCGGTTGGTTTAGGTGCGTTTGTGGCGCAGCGGGCCGAAGCGTCAGCGGCGACGGCCGAAGCGGAGGAAAGAGTGGACGACGTCTTGCCTCTTCATGCCAGAGTCAAGAAGTTGCGGGTAATCGCGGACTAACGCTGAAAGTGAATCAAATCTAAAATAAAACAATCTATTAGATGCGATAGATAAGACTTTATGTGGACATAGAAACATTTCGGCGTTCAATTTGTTATTTAATTTTATATTTTCATGTTGGAAATTCGAAATATGAACTGACCGCTCGTTTATAATGCTAAACTATGAAAAAGCCACTAGTACAACACTAATTGTCTAGTCTATTCGTCCACAATTTTTAACCGAACTTTCACCAAAATATGTTTTTTGTATGTATGTGATAGAGGAGGAAAAACAAGCATGAAGTTCACACTATGGTTGGTGAAATACCCCAGCCATATTAAATCAAGTTGCGCTATCGATCTATTTCGCCTTTGGATATTCGGAAATCCACTGACTGCAACCGACTAAAGTTGACAAAATACAAAAATATTTTTCATCTTTGGACGATGGTTTGTGACCAGGCCGGAATTTTATTGACCTACCTACCACGGTGGGGATCAAGCCTACAACCCGTTGATACATGTCAACCAACGTACCTATCAAAATGTCCAGCAGTTACAGTGTAAAGTTCCTACTTTATATACTCCTGTATATACAAATAAAATCCTTTAAATAATTTATGTAACTACTCTGCAATATTGGATAAATACCTTGGTATTCGGGCACCTGTTCACCGGCCGCTTCGGCATACAACTCTAAGAAGGTGTTAAGGGCCTGACAGAAGCGCGCAGCCCTTGGATCGTCCTCCGCGGCGGCCGTGCACAGCTGCGCGGGCGCACTCCACGCGCAACCGACGCACCACGCCAAAACTGCGCACCACACCGCCGCGCGGGACAACTCTGCGATTCTGCGAACAAACAGACATTTAGTAAATCTACTTGAATCAGAAATAATAAATATTTTAACTTCCCTCTTTATATTAAATTAAAATAAATTTGTTGTTACAAAGAATGAAAACTTTAATAGCGGAGACGGAATGCTAACCCGCCTCAGACGGCTTTTTTTATTTGGGTCATTCCAAAATCGGTTTTGTCTAAACTTTATTTTAATAAATAATATTTAATGAGCCCTCAGTAAACAATATAAATACAAAGTGAAGCTTGATACACGTTCAACTTAACTATAAAACGATCGTATACAATAGGTTCTTCACTGTTTAAAGAATAGAGTTAACATTAAACTTCTCTGATCACGATTCCCCATCTATTATGTTCACAGAATATACAATAATTAACAAACCGTAATGGCGATTAAAACTACCCTCATTGTGTGTTGTATAGCTCATGTAATTACTGCAATATCAATAAGTAATAAAAACAATTATCATATTATAGGGATAATGTGAATATAGAATTCTCAATGCCCCTATTAGTCCCGGAAATACCGACATTACTATTAGGTGCGACCTTTACGCGTTTTATTCACTTACCTTTCGGTGCTCACATTTCATATTTCGTATAACAAGAGTTCAAAGGGAAATATCGCTTACTAACAACCTCTGCAATTCTAAACACTAAACCCTTTCTTGAGATTCAATGTTACGTTTGAAAAGTTATTTTATAACTAGGTAATGTATATGTAATTCTTTATCGATTATTTATATTTCATGACCAATTATAGTTTCAGTTATATCTTATTAGTTTCTTAAAACTATTGCTTTTGGGAGAAAATAGGATTTCTTTTATACCTATTCAACAAAATCGCAGTTTAGTAAAGAGTTGTACGTTTATATAAATCGCAGATTATATAAACGTACAACTCCTACTCCGTAGATATTCATAAACTTTTCAAAGATAAATAATAAAGAGAGAATCTAAAAAAATTTACACGGTAGCTCAAAGGCTGTGGCTTCAAGTCCCTACCCGTTTCGTATCTTGTTCAATCTAAAATTGATTTTTAATTATTATTATAATATTAATATCCCTATATACATAAAACATCCCTAGAAACATCTGCTAGGCTAACAAAATGTATATTAAATTGATTCTAAGATTTAGGTATGACACAAGAATCCGCTAAGCCACTAAGTATCCTGTGGCATTTTACACGAATAAAGCAAAACAAAGGACTTTTTAGTGACATCGCATCCGTGACCCCAATATTGGCATGCCATTGAGCAAGTGTTACCCGAAACTTATTGCTTTTTTCAGTCGCTTATACGATATCGAATAAATTCCATTAACAACGCAGTCAGTTTTCTGGACCAATACATATTTAAAAGTACACCACTACACCACAATTATTTTTATAGTTATAAAGATCTACAAATATTTTTTATTGAACCGACCGCAACTAGGTATTTTTTTCTTTTTTTGTTATGACACTGTAGTGTCAGCTCTATTTTGTATAGATGTCGAGTCAAAAACACTATATTCCCGAACGGTAGCAAACATACTAGATAAGTTACCAAATGTAGTAAAGGTAAAAGTAGCGTTTACAAAGTTAAAGAAAAGAAGTCAACGAAGTTAAGGCGTTAGTTTAGTAGTACGTAGTTGTAGAAGTTAGTTTGCATTGATGTTAACTTACTAAACACATATAAAAGTAGCGTAAAAGCAGTAAAATTGAGCAGTTTAAAGATACTGTATTTAAAAGATAGTAATATACGCAAGTAAGGTTCTAAGCAGTAAGTAAGACTACGCAGGTAGACTATATGGTAATATAGCGTATAAGAATACTTTATAGATTTAAAATAAACTAGACAAAAAAGCATATTATAAGCGTAACACTCATAATAGGTGTATGTACAAACAAAGTCCACACCAAAAATAGCACAGTACAAATGCCTTTCCAAAAATGATTTAATGAAAAGCCTAAATAAATATTGTATCATTTAATCGCATTGTTAAATACTGTCCCTCTCTGAATGAGCATCTTAAAACCTAACTTCAAAGCTCCAAAAAGCGTAAAGCGTATTAAAGTTTACACACAGCTTAAGCCGTTGAAGCCCACAGATTATACTTAATTTGCTTGAGCCGAGGGAACAGCACTTATTTCGGGCAGGACTTAAGCAATCAACAAGTTTTAATAACGTTAAACGTCAAAAATTGGGTAAAAATACGGCAGTTTTACCAACAAAAGAGTGTAACTATCGTGTTTTTATTATAGTGTTGAAATTAAAATCTGCTGTGTTGTCTGTAAAGTTATTTATATACGACATATAAGTAATTTGAGACGACATTTTTAAGATTCAAAGCAAGAAGTGGGTTTTCGAAATACTTGCATCACACAATAATAGTTTTTGAGAGACGATTTAAGTGAAGATCGCTATTCAAATATGTTAAAAGCTAGAATATAAATTTAAAGTCAGATATTTTTAAATAGAGTTTACTTTTTAACTGTAAATAATGAAGGTACATATGCAAAAGATATTTTCCTTATAACATAAAAAAAGATTACACAAAAGCGCGACAGCATTTACGACTTATATCTCTGAAAAGCATGGGTAATGTTTGTCTAGTTTTTTTGTGCGAAAAACATGCCTCCCTTTTAAGAGGATTTTTGTTTCTTTGTTAATTTAACCAAATAATTATAACAATAAGTCGTATAATCTATACTAATATGGTAAGGTGAAGAGTGAAACTAAACAGTTTGTTTGTTTAAACGCTAATCTTAGAAACTACAAGTTCCAATTAAAATGAAAACAATTATTTTTGTGTTAGATACACCATTTATCGAAGAAGGATAGATAAATCACGCTGTGACCAATAGGAGCGAAGTATCAGTGGAAAATTTGATAAAAACGTTGAATCTAAAGGCTTTCGATGCTTACGCTTCGAAAACGGTACAAGATACCTATTAACAGAATTACTTAGAAAAATGTTCGCGATAATATATGTCTCTCTTTTCAGATCAACTTGCAAGAAGACGGGACGCGGACGACGCGTGTAAAGTAAAATTATAATAGTGTTTCTATTCAAATTTGTCGTAATAACATTAAAATAAATTTTGAATTTACAAAATACAAACAAACTTCTAAGAATACAGTATATTAAAAGTCAAGGCTCTTTGTAATTGCTTTAGGTCGCTCGTAACAATAATTTGTCATGTCAAATTGACCGCCTCGGTTTAAAAACGGGACTTCAAACAGGTATTTTTTACCGAGATTCCCAAACAACCTGATTGGGAACGGAGCCTAATTGCATAATTTCGGGTATATCAACCTTCTTGCTGGAGGCATCACGTTTTCGCCTTCGTTATTTAAAATTATTTTTGTTACAATAGGTACTAGACCATAAAAAGCTTACACATATTCTGTGAACCCCTGTCTCCTCTATATAGAGCATATTTCTGTTCCTTATCTTATATAAAGATATTGAGTATCCAAAGCCAATAAAGGTCGATAGGACATCTTGTGTAGATGTTATATCTCTATCCTCCTCTGACTTTAAAAAAAATCTTAAAGATTCTCATAACAACGTTGCGTCTAACATCTTAGTTCAAGAACTAAAAAATTCCACCACAACCTCCCGAGGGATTTTGTATAATGGAGTAGCTGTATCTTGAATAGCGGATTATTTAACGAGACGAACTCACCTTCTCATATTTTATGGAATATGACGTAATTAATAAGAAAATTGCGTTGCGAACACGATATCCTAAAACGACTCACAAAGGCATTTAAGGGTCTTATAAAATATAGACGGTTTAGAACGCAAAATACCTATATGGTTAAACTACGATCTGATTCGGATGCTTTACTGCAGTCACGGTCACTGCTATTCGGTAGCTACATAGCATCCACAGTCATGAACACATTTCACGTTTCGAAATAATCATTATTTTCTGTTGTACAATCTTAAACTTTAACTGGATGAGAGCTTAGGCTATCTGTTATTTCTTTCAAAACCCTGTTCGAACTGCAGGTTGCGTCTAGATTAAGTCTTGATTAGATTGAAGGATTTCCGTCTCATCATTTCTATCAATCTCCATTTTGAACACGCTTTAACGAATTTATTAATAATGAACCGGGATAATGTATCGTTTAAATTCTCAGTTAATTTGCATATTAACGCAAAGTCTGGCTTTGCTATAGAATATACTTCACGGCATAACTCACATAATCATCAGTGTTGTATTATTGACTTGATGCATTATTAAATGAATTGAGGCCGCTAGAGCCAGAGTAGCCTAACTGCAATTTTATCACTTGACTTATTCATATTTTTATGCTCTAAAAATGTGACCAAAAATTGTTCTAACAATCATTCAGCTCACAATTTTTATCCTTACACGAATAATACTATAAATTAATTTTCGCCCAAATTATTGGGCATTTGTTTACTCCTTATTAAAAATCATGTTTTTTGTTATTAGGCCTCTCTGGCTCCAGCAACCTCAATTAAGAAGTTAATACCAATTTTCCTATATAGGACATAGTCAGACATGTTTTCTTGTGTGTCTGCAAAGGACTAATGTTGCTAATAAGAAAGAAATGTTTACCCGTGAATGGAACCTAAGACGTCATGCGGTTAATGCAAAGCTTACTTTGACTTACTGAGGGGTATAGGGAATTCATGAAAATAAGTAAGTATATATACCAACATCTAAATATTATCCGCATTTACAGTTGACACTCTTTGTCATACGTTAACTACTGAGTTAACGAAAGCTTTTGATTAAAATTATTACATACTATGTTTATTGGGAGAAAAATATGTGAATATTTTAATTAATCGATTTTGTGGTATACATTTTCGTATGCATACGAGCTTTGGTTACAAGCGGATCTCAATTTTACGAGGTAGAAACCCCTTAGTCATTTTCTCTGACTAACACGTAAAATAATGGTAAGATAAGTCGACATGCTTAAGGAAAACCCTAGCAGATAGATACGACGCTTTCGCCTCC